CAGCCCACAAAAAAAGATGACTTCCAGCACATTTCATTTTTTTCTTCGTACATAAGCTTTTATTTCTTCACTTACTACGACTTCGAAAAAATTCTAATTCTAAAAAGATTACAACTAAATAAAGAAGCAGACCTTTCGACCAAAGTTCTTGTAATCCATTTCTTGCCAACTAATCGCACTCAAACGATCGACGTCACCAAATGTAACGCCAGGTGTATATAAGCCACATAGAAGATGAACCCATCCCCCACCAATGTCTGTAAAAACGAACAGAGAACAATAAGAATGATCTCAACAAAAGGTAAGTTAAGAAAAACTAACCTGCTTTTTTGAACGCTCCGTATCTTGAAGGACAAAATTCGCAATAAGGAGGCTCACTTAAACCGTACAAACATGGCTCACAAAACCAAAGTGGCGCCGAGGAGCTACAATGACTACCGCCCGAAGCAGTAAGATCGGTCAAATAACAATTTTCGTGAACAGCTACACCGCATCTAACAGAAATAAAGCTTTATAAAAAAACACCCGCAATTTGGAAAAAAAGTAAACTAAGACGGTCTAACAAGAAAAGGTATCTACAGCCCAAAGATTAAAAGCGAAGAAACACATATACTTAAGATTTTTAATAAACACAGCTCAACAAGTGAATTTTGATGTTGAAATTCACAACCAACCTGCTACACTGTATCACTGGGTCTTTCCGAACTGAAGGACGCAAATTCAAACAAAGTGAACAAATGAGAGGCATCTAAATATACATGTTGTGGCCTAAAGATGAAAAGAAGAAACTTTTTATTTGTGAAATAAATTCTAAAAAATCAAAATGAGAACGATTCAATCATATACCTTCTCGAGAGATACGTCTTTACCACCACTATTCAACCCCGACGCTTCATAGAGATTCTGAAAAGGAAAGGTTGCATCTGAAGCTGGTGAACCAAAAGGTCAGAGTAACAAGAATATTTTCGACTGAATAATCAAGTGTGCATAGACTGTATTATTACATTCATTGGTCTCACACATAGTAAAACGGAAGCAGTAAAAATATTCCTAACATAGATAAACAGAATTACATTTCTCAGTTATTGAATTGCTTAATAATATGCTTTAAAGATGTTAAAACCAAGACCCAAAACTTGAGTTCAAAGAAACTAAAACATAGAGCACTAAACGACAAAATCTGTTGATTTAAAGAATTTCAAGACCTAAGACACCCCCTTCCAAAAACTGACTGTAAAAGCAGCAAGGTAAGGAACCACTAAAAATTCACAGACTTTTCCTAAACATAAATTTAACCCTGATAAATCAGAATTCGTGAAGGTTGAATAGCAGAAGTTTTATTCATCCACGACGCTTAAAAACGATATCATATCTAACATGACATATGCCGTACTACCAACGTTGACCTTTCAACCATCTAAAAGATGGAACTTCAATAAAAAACAAATAATTTTCCTCCAAAAAAAAGTTAGAGTCTAAGCCCGTTTACGTTGCATTGCCATTGAAACCAAGAGTAAAATAGCCAAACTATTGCAAAAAAACATTGCCATGAATTATTTGAAAGCCCAACAATTTTATCTGCTTTTTCGGAATCTCCATCACTGGAGTCTTTGCCATCATCACTAGTTCCATTGCCTTCATCTTCACTAAGTGACAGGTCCGAATCGTCGGTTTCATCAGTGCCGTCACTCTTTTCTTTGGCTGCAAAAATCAAGCGTAGGAAAACAGCAGTATGTTTCGCTCTACTCAAAATAAACTACGAAACGATAAAAAATACTAGAAATTCAACTGTGCAGTAATTCGCATAAAATATAAATTTATATAGGACAAAGTGTACAAAAATTCTTTTTTTTATTCATATCTTAGTCAATTTGGTTTCGCTTTTCAATTTCTTTCTTGAGTCGTTGAGAAAGTTGTACAAAAGAAAGATGAAATAACAAAGTGAAGTTCAAAACAAAATAAAGATCAGTTTACAATCATTAAAACAACTGCGCCTTTATAGGTGTAGCATTACAACCTATAATACCAAAGAAAGAAAGCTTCACTTAAAGCACAATAACAGATTAGTTAAAGCAATAAAGAAAGAATAAAAACTTCAACTAAGCAATTTTGTTAAACTTCAGTAGTACCGTTGAAGTTCAGGACAATTTGAAACAAGTCCCTTTAGCAGCTAGCAGATTCTAAGACTTGTTTATATAAGCCGTAAACTGTTTATAGGAAAAGAATGATGTTAACGAACTTAAAATTCATTAGTAACAATGATAATATTGATAACCGCCCCAGTTCTATTGAAAATGGAAGGAAGCTGCAACGCACCTATAAACTCATCGTCGTCATCGTCATCGTCATCCCCTGTGATCATCGGCATAGTCAACAGTGCCACATTAGCTTTAATTTGTCTCTTACCCGGCCCGCGAGCAGCTAAAAAAACAGTATTAAGTTCATTTAAAAAAAAAAAAGCTTCTAAACAATTT